AGCATAGCGCGCTGCCCATGGTTCGTCTGGGGTCGTCCGGATGGGGTAGAGTGAGGACGTTCCATCGAAGGACCAGGTTGTGGTACCCGCTGGTTGTTGCGATGAACGTCCTCTGTCTCCATTCCTCGATATATTCCCGCTTGGTCTCCCATAGCGGGTGCGTCGTCTTCTCCTTCCAAATCAACCGCGCGGCTTCTTCTCCCTGTTGTACCCATGCGTTTCTTCGAGTTTCCTCGAATCGGTCGAACGCCTCTGCGTAGTGACGGGCAGTCAGCATTCCAGTGTCCTGTTTTTCCACAATGGTAACAGGCACCAGGAGGCTTGCCATCATGTTTCCGTTTTTGGCTAAGGGCATTGCGCTTGCGTGTCGCGTCAATGTCCATGTCAACGACTTGGTTGTTCATTCTGCGAGGGGCGTTTGTGGAGTTGTAGTGGGGAGAGATTTGGTTATGGAAACAATTCAGATAATTGCTTCGAAAGGAGGTGGAGTTGGCGAGGATGGCTTTTTGAGCTGTTCTGGCCCGCAGCCGTCCATCTATTTCGCAGGCTGTATTGATCCAGTCCTGAATGGTATCCTTGGGCTGAACTTCCTTGTCATATATTTTGTCCATGACGCGCGGGTCTAGTCCGCGTTGGAAGTAAGGGACCTGCTCTTTTTCGGAGATGTCGGCATCGGCGGCAATGAGAATGAATTGGTTGGAGTATTCATCAACCGTCATTCGTCCTTGGGAGAAAGCCATGAGAGCGCTTCGCGCTTTGTCGGTCTTGCCCGTCTCCCTAAACTGTAATTTGAACTTTGCTAAAAAGTCCTTCCAGGTGCCTAGGTCGGTAGGTGGATCTGCTCCTACTGATCTGAGGAGAAAGTTCTCCGCCCAGGCTCCCGCCGTGCCGTATCTCATGCATGAGAGCACAAGGGATATTTTGTCTTGATCGGTCTTGTACCGATCGGATTCTGCTGCGAAAAGAAGGAGGCATTGGAGCATGAATTTCTGGGATTCAATGCGGTCGCCTGTGTAATTGTCTGGGAGTTTGACTTTTCCTCTTCCGGGTTGTGCTGTCACGGAAGGGGTGTTTGTAGAAGTCGAAGCTTGTCCCGACATGTTGGCGAGTGGTTCGTTTCGGGTGTTGATCGGTGTTTGGTTTGGTGAGTCGGAGTCTGATTCCGAGGTTGTTTCCTCTTGCTCCGAGTCTTCGGGGATTACCGGCGCCGGTTCCCTGTATTGTGGGGCTAGTTCCCACTGAGCTTCTGTTTCGTTCCAAATATCCTCTTCTTCTGTTCCGTCTTCAAGGGTGAAGTAATAACGCCCGTTTCGGTATGAGCAGTTATCGTAATTCGGAGGGGCAGTTCTGTTATTGTCTTCGTAGACCCAGAAGTCCCCTTCGCGCCGGATAGGGCGATTGTTGTGACGGAGTTGGTTATTGATACGTCTAGTGCCGGGTGGGTATTCCTGGCCTAGGTCTTGCTCCAGAGTGTATGCAGTAACGCTTTCTTGATGGGGGTCTATTATCCCCACCAAGGAAGGTTATGAGAGAGAGTGTGGCAGCAAGCTAGTGCGAGCAAGGTAGGGGCAGAAGAGTCTATTCTAGTGTTACGACTGCTCGTCGGTAACCCCAAGAGTAGGAGGTTCTTCCCTAGGTCACTCGTGGAGGATGTGTGGAACGGTGGTCTCGACTGTACGTGTAGCACAGGAGCCAGAAGTGTATTGCGATATAGCAATGAAGACTGTAGCAGGAAGTCTACAGTGGATGAGGGTGCTGTGGTAGGAAGACCACAACGAACGAAGAGAATAGACTGAAGATCGTCAGCCTATTCTATGGGCCTTTTATACTACTTTGGGAAGTAGGGCGTGAGAATACCGAATATGTATCTGTAGGTATTCTCTAAGTCGTCTCTCTCAATAACGACTACTCTTGTGCTTCTCCATTGGTCTCCTTCCGGCCAGGAGAGACTAGGAGGTTCATGCCCTGCATGTGAGTAATTTATAAGGCGGCGTTCCATGCCCGCTAATACAAGGCCCGTGATACTCGACCAATGATTGATGATCCATTGGGAGTGGATGACCAAGGTTAATATCTGTACCTTGGTGTACGCCTCAACCTGTGAGGCCGCGTGATATTTGTGATGATCATATCGGAATAGACCGCCGTGTAGGCCCGATAGAACGTGATCATAACAACCGGGGCCGTAGGCCTATTTAAAAATCCGATTCCTTCTTCTTACTCATCTCGCTTAACTCCTGGAGGAGTGCTTCCTGTTCATCCCATCTCATCTTCCCGATAACCCTTTGGATCTCTTCTCGGCTAATCTCATGCTCCGTCTCACGTACAGGTGCATCCGGTCCGGGTGCGTGGGCCTGGCGAGCTGCGAGTCGGGCTCGGAACGGGTTAGTCGTCGCCACGCCTCTACCTTGCGCCGCAGCGCCTCCCTGAGCACCGCCTGAAGTTCCTGCCGAGAACGCTCGGCCATAGCCGCTTCCTCTGCCTCCCATCCTGCCGCCGGTCTGAGCCGAGCGGTTCCCCATCGTTCCACTACTCTGTTGAACATATCTAGCTGGCCCTTCATATATCCTAGACGAACCCCTGACAGGGCATTGGTTTGCCATATGTCCTTTCTGGCGACAATAGAAGCACCCACCCTCCATTCTGAGGCGGTTGCGCTCTTCATCGGTGAGGGTCGTTCTGACCGAATCTACAGCCATGGGGACGACGGAGTTGTTCATGGAGGATGGAGCGTTGGATGAGTTGTAGCGGAAAGGGTTGCTGGATCGAACAGCAGCGGAGGGTACGGAGCTTTTTATGCTCTGCAACTCTCTCCATTGATTATCGAACCTTCGGGTGTATTTTACCCAATCGTCCATTGTCGTCGGCATGTCGGGGAGTCTGTAAATTTGTTTGAGGATCTCCGGGTGTATGGCACGACGGAAGTAGTCGACGGTGGATTCGAGATCGAATCCACTTTCTCCTGCCGTCATGAGGTAGTCCGTGACAAACTCGTCTGCTGACCGCTTTCCCATTCTCATTGTGAATAGCTTCTGTCTCGCCTTCTGTTTGAGAATTTCATCTTTGAATGCAGCGGCCAATTCCTTCAAGAAGTCCTTGAATGTTCCCCACGTTTTTCTTGTCTCTGTCGCCTTGTATTCTCGAAGTTCCCTGTCGAAGTAATATTTCTGGGCGAAGAGTGATGCTGTCCCTTCCCTCATGTATGACAACACCATCAGGGTTTTATCCTTATCGGTGTCGTACTTGGTCGGGTTGGCGAGAATGTACATGTGACATTCATATATCCATTCTCTGTATTTCGACCTTGTGCCATCGAAATCTTTCGGTTTGTTTCCTCTGTCCGACATTTCGTCTTCGTCGTCTGTGGTGTCGGTGCTTGGTAGAGGGTTCGGTTGCAGGTTCGGGTTGGGATTTGGTTGACTCGGTCCTGCTACAGGTTCCGGGTCTTCTTCATCAACTGGTGTTAATACTCCTGCAGGAATTGGGGTTTCTTTGATATCCTCTTTGGGAATATTAATCGGTGATAGAACAGGTTTTGTTCGGATGGGGGAATCTACGGTTCTGAGGGGTGCCTTCCTGTCTTCCCAGGGTACTAGTGGGGCGTTGACTGTTTTTCCGCTGTTCTGTCCTCCTACGTAAACCCAGTTTCCTTTGGATGTCCTTCTGATCAGTTGTCCGAAATGGACAAATGTGTCGGAATGTTTCAAGTAGTCGGTTCCGTGTGGAACTCGCCCTACGCTTCTTCCTGAACCTTTGGAAGTTGTCTTGTTAGATCAAAGAGCCCGCGCTAGTCTCGACCTGATCAAGGTTCGAGGGTCAAGGCAACAGCAGCTCATTCTGGCCGGGTACAGTATTTCTGCTTCTGGTATAGTACCGTACGTAACGTCGAGTGCAGTTGTTTCGGTCGTACTTCCACTGGGTTGATTACCAGATAGAAGTATTCTACAACCTGAAACGACCCACACTGAAGTGGAATCGTCCAACCGTTTGCTCGAAGTGTATAGTAACTACTATGGTCGACGGACGCTTGTCTTTTGGGACTGCCTAGCGCCGTATGTATCTAGCCGGTGTTCTGCTGCAAAGAAAAGGGTGGAGTAGGATTGTGTGTGGAGAGGCTATCCAGATGTCACGAACGGCTGTTCGGGACGAGAGGATCCTAGGCCATGAATGATGAGAGAGGGTTTGAGAGGATGATCGGGACTGATCAGACTAGTGTCTTGCAATCAGAGAAGACTGTGTGAACAGCAGTTCTTAGATTGGACAGAAGTGGATAGCCTAGGGCTTCCACACTGCGCCGCAGTATCTATAAATATGTACAAGCAGATGCACGGACCAAGTATCAGTGGAACAGGAACACGAGGTATAGTCGGGAGAAAGGTCCTATGAGTCCTTATCAAGAAGGTGGGAAGAAGTAAGTAAGCATAGGCGAGACGTTTCGTAACAGTATACACAATGGGAGCATATGTAATGGGAGCACACACAACAAGAGCACATACAACAAGAGCACATATAATAAGAGCGCACATGATAGGAGTATGGGAGCATACATAATAGAAGCATACACAATAGAAGCATATACAATGGGAGCATATGCAATGGGAGCACATGCAACAGGAGCACATGCAATAGGAGCACATGCAATAGGGGCATATATAATCAAAGCACATACAACTGGAGCACATCTAATAGGAGCATACTACACATAATGGAAGCACACCCAACTAAAGCACATCTAATAGAAGCACATGTGATGGGAGTATACACAATAGGAGTATACACAATGGAAGCACACATAATGGGAGCACACTATATGTAATGGGAGCACATATAATAGGAGCACACCTAACTAGAGCATATCTGATAGGAACACATATGATGGGAGTACATACAATGGGAGCACACATGATGGAAGCACATCCAACTAGAGCATATCTAACAAAAGCACACCACATACAACAAAAGCATATCCAACAAGAGCATACCCAATAAGAGCATATCAAATGAGAGCATACCCAATAAGAGCTTACCCAATAAGAGCATACCCAATGAGAGCACACTCAACAAGAGCATACCTAATGAGAGCACACTCAATGAGAGCACACCCAACAAGAGCACATTCAACAAGAGCACATCCAATAGAAGCATATACAATAGTAGCATACCCAATAGGAGCACACCTAATTCAAGCACACACAATGGGAGCACATATGACAGAAGCACACATAATAAGAGCATATACAATAAAAGCATACAAAATGAGAGCACATGTAATAGGTAATCAAGTCACAAGTATATAGCCAACAATAGATTACATACAGACTATATACAGACCACACTCAGACTGTAGGTAGCCTATAATCAATGCATAGTTTGCAACTAACACGGAATATTTCAATCCTCATAGTCATTTAAAACTAAACTACAAAACTCAGATTCAACCCTAACCCCAAGAAATACTATTAAGCACTGTGCAAGAGTCGCGAAGCGACGGGTCGGAACTCGTGCTTTGATAATATATGTCAGATATCTCATCTGTTGGAGTACGGAACATGGCATATTTTTGTCAGTAACTCTACTCGCGGGGATGAGAATGCCCGATGGCCTGCGAGCTCAATCACAGGCAGATCACGATCATCGTTGCTTGAACCTTGCATCGTGTGTACACTCGAAGATATTCACAATGCCCTCTGGGGCGACGTGCTGTGTGGACGACGGAAATCTGGCGCATATATAGTCTCGGGCGAGCGCAGAGGTAATGGGGCGACTTTTTTGAAGTCCATTACCACGCTTCCTGCCTGCCCATGGGTAACAGTTTTCTTGTTTCGAGTGCGTGGTGTCTTTCAGAACGTCTTGCCTCCGAGATCTGACCTTCAAACGCCTCCTATGTGAGTGAAAACCTATGCATGACATGTTATAATCACCTTGCGGACGCTAAGATCTGAGACGATGCTCGCGCAAGACTATGCCTTTAGAATGACCGGCTGTAGCGACCATACTTGATGTCCTGTCGCAAGGAGGCAGGGTTAGATGACGTATTTATGTCGAAATATTCAACGATACACCTAATATAGTGCCAGAACCGTGCCCCGTAGACCTCAGAATTCAGAAGTGCATAGTGAAGTTCGCAACACAGGAACTAAAATGCTGTCAACATTGTGAATTCAAGCTCATATCGTACACTCGTATTACAGTAACATCTGACGTGAAATATACAGCCTGGCTGGCTTAGACCCCGGATTTCCAATTGTAGGGACCCTGTTCCATGAGCTCGATGGCCTCTGTCAAGGCGGCATTGAAAACTGTATGAGTAAATGAATTTGCCTGAGGATCTGATTCAGGGCCAAAAGCGCCAAAGAGAGTGATCTCGTCCTCCGGTTGAGTGAATGCGTTCGCAATCCTTCCCATGAACCCTTTGAGTCTGAACATGAAGTCGAAGAGGCGACGTGACATGTTGCCCCGGAGGAGTGCACTTTTGCTTCGAGTAAGAAAATCGAAGGGCACGAGGTACACCCTAGATTGACGGATAAGGTATATGTCCAGCCTCCCAAACGAGTCGCGGAATAATTTAGTCATTAACAGGGTCTCCTTTGAAGAAGCATGTTTCACTGTGATCAGCTTCCGTAAAATGGCGTAGATCATTGACCATATAAAAGATTCAATGTCGTGTTCAACGGTGTGAGTCACTGGCTTCGACTCGTGGAGGCAATTCAGAAGACTCATAGCCATGAACTGGAGCGTTCCCTGATGCAAAATGAAGTCAACCACGCGGGACGGAAACAAAAAATAGTGACAAATAGGGGCTTACAGTGATAGCAGCCCCACGCTGCGCCAGAACGCTGTCTGTAGATCCCGGTTCGGACACCTTGGATTGGTCAGTTATGGTTTCCTTCCATGCATACTCTAGATCCGTTATGAAACCTTCACTCCCAGGGGGTGCATTGCGATCTTCTGCTAGTAGGATATTGCCCGCACTGATATCACGGTGTAAGATGCCCTGTTCATAAAGGAATCGATGCCCTGGTTTGTGGAACCGGTGAGTAAAAGTGTCCTGCCCCTCATTTACCATGCATGGTTCTGACCTTCAAGCGCCGCCCGCAAACCTTTGAGCAATTCGACGTCGGACGAGTATTCCCACAATGGCCTACCGACAGTGCTTAAGATCAGACGGTGGAGTACAGGGGTCTGCGCGAAAGCATCAAAAACGTCCCCGCGGAGATGACGAACAGATATGGTGTTTTCCAGAATACCCTTGACAACAGGACCAGGCGGGTTGGCCTCTGCCGTCCGTCGAAGGACAGGTCGCAGATCTCTCACATCTCCTCCAGTGAGAAATTTGGCCACCCCAGGATGATTTCCCTTCACAGAGAGATAGACGTCTGATTCAGAGTCGCGCTTGCTGTTATGCCAGGCGTTCTTCAGAATCATTACCGGCCCTCTCAGCATGGGCTTGTTATGCTCGACCTTGACGCACTCCCTAACTCTCCAGACCAATGATCCACGGCCTGTGAGCGAAATAGAACTCCACGTTGGGTGTTCAACCGTACACCAGGATCGCTGTCCCGCATCGTTTCCTACAGGGCCGATCACGTAGGCTGGATAGGGTCTGGGAACCTGTAGTGTTACAGTGGTGTCGTGACAAATTTGATAGACCGTTGGATCAAATCCAAGTTCTTCCTCTGTCAAATAGCAAGAAAGGGATAGGATGAGTTGAATGAATGTTCGCGTTTTCGTCCATATGTTGAGCACCGGAGAGAGCGTGACACCATCACGATCAACAACACCGACACAGAATTCGGATCCACATATGAGGAGGGCCACCGAGAAAAGCATGAATGGGCGAGCAGACATGAATATACGTGCATAATCTGCTGCTTGCGCGGTGATCATCTGTACTGTGCTATCTCTAGCCCCGATCGGTCTTGGTCCCTGCTTTTTCGTGGCCTTGACCTCTACGAAAGCAGACACATCTCGCCAAATGGAATAATCGGCACCTGAATTGGCGATGACGAAATCGGGCTCTGCCTTTGGGAACCCGAATGTGTGATTGCCATCTACAATTGCACCATGGGAGATATGGAACTCGCGGGGTTTCTGAGTCATAGTTGCTGAGGGACGGCCGAATGCCGTGATAAACTTGAAGATCGTATCCTAGAGAGTGTCCAGACTGAGTCAAAAGGCAGTTCGAATTCTGTTACTGTTCTTGAACATACCAGATGAGGGTACATATCCCTTTCATGTTTCCTTTGGACAACATCGCTGCCAGGATATTTGTCAGCCTCAATTTCTAGAGCTTTGAGACGTCGAATAGCATGTTGGACGTCAGGATTCTCGTTGAATGCGGAGAGACATGAATTGACAGGCTGATCCTCGCTATTGAGAAGAACGTCAAAGACACGTTGACTATCATAGATGACCCTGTTGGCGAGCTCCTTCTTGATCGCCCCACGGACGGTTGTGGTGGAGTCCTGGCTCTGGGTAAAATTCCGTACGCCGATGCTCTGGATATGAGGGGAAAGCTGAGGAGGATCCATTGTGAGGGTGAATCGAGACTCGTACCGAAGACATCCCTGCACAACGCTGCTTTATATCAAAATGATTTCTCTTAGACGCTTATGAGGTATATGTTCTCGATTCTGAGTGGCGTGGCGTGTTACAGTATCGAAAGTAGAAGACCTCTTACAGACCTTTGGAGAATGATCAACGCTTAACGAGCCGCACAGAACACGAAGGGAGTACAATAGGGAGTGCCTAGGACGCAAGAACGGCGCCGATTAATCATCACGGTTCAACGCCACGCCTAGACAACAACGGCATAGGTGGCGCAGGATTGGCGCAGAAGGGCACGGAAGAATAGTCTCCGTTGTTGACCAACACAGAAGATTGCACCAGCAGAAGAGATCTAAACTAAATCATCAGATTTAGAAGCTTCACGCAGCCTGAAATAGGCGTTACTGTATCTTCCAGCGCTGCCAGGATCGCCCAGGATCGCCCTCAGTGAGATTCGGCAGAATTTAATAATTCCACAGTTGCCCCTCTCATTAATTTGGAAGAATCAATTACAGCAGTGTTCTGAGCGCACACTGACGGTCCTTCCGGCACTCAACCGGTCAACGCCAATTCACATCGAATTCGGTGAAGAATGCCGTCCTGGAAAGATCAGCCGATGATGAGAAAAGTGGTTCATTGAGATCTGTGTAAGATTGCTGCTATTCTTTCTTGAGCTACAACATGGAATTTGTTATCGATTGTTGCCGGACAGTGACAGTCTGTTCAATCCAAAAGCCGGCCAGCTCACAAGAAAAATCACAGATATACCTCATATAAATCGACGTATCTTCTCAACATTGAAACAAGGCAGAAGGAGAGATCCTGTTGGAACAATTGGAGATATCCGGTGATCCTCGATCTGGAAACGGAGGGAAGGCATTCAGACATCCGCTTCTGCGCGTCGTGGCACCTTTCCTTCTGCCCGTGTCTAAAACGAAACACGATGCGATAACAGAGATTTACCGATTGCCGTTCCGTGTCAGACTATGTTGGATTTTTAAGATTTGAAGACGGTCTTCTACCATTCGTGTGATAATGGATTGGTTTTTCTGATGAAGCACGGCGGCCCATTTGGGGCAAAAACTGATAGTCCTAAAACACCGTCAATCGTCATTGCCGCGTGGACCATCAGCGCTTCAGCTGCGACTTCCAACATGGCACCAGGATCTTTTGCGTGTGAATCTGAATCCTTTGAGCCTTCGTGTTGGTAAGAGGTATACAATCTGCGCCGTAGATTTTGACGCTCCTGAATAGCACATGTCAGCTGAAAACAAGACAGGACTAGAACACCTCGATGAAAGTAGTATCCGAGATCTAACGCTTGACAATTGATCCATCAATGGCGCCATGAGCATCGAAGGATCTGATGAAAGACAGTTGCATTCTGCAGCCTGCCGCCAGCTAGGGTTCTTGCTGTTTCAGACCCCGGATGTCCAATCAGAGGAACCCCCTTCGATAAGCTTGATGGCCCCTGTCAGGACGGCATTGAAATGTGGGGGCCAGTGAATCTGCCCGAAACTCTGGTTCGGAGCTAAAACCGTCGATTTGAGCAACCTCGCGCTTCGGTTGAGTGACTGCGTCTGCAATCCTTCTCATGAGCCCTCTGAGTCTGAACATGAAGTCGAAGAGGCCATGTGACATGTTGGCCTCGAGGAGTGCACTTCTGCTTCGAGCAAGAAAATCAAAGGGCATGAGGCACACCCGAGATTGATGGATATGGTATATGTCTAGCTTCCCAAACGAGTCTCGGAAAAGCGCACTGATCAACGTCCCCTCGCCCGAAGAAGCATCTTGTACTGCGAGCAGCTTCCGTTGGATGGCATAGACCATTGACCATATGAAAGATTCAATGTCGTGTTCAATGGTGTGAATCACTGGCTTCGACTTCTTGAGGCGATCCAAAATATACATAGCCATGAACTGCAGCGTTCCCTGATGATGCAAAAGCAAAGTCAGCCAAGCGAAACGGACCCGGAAAGACAGATACGAGCTTACCCTGACGGAGGCTCCACGCTGCGCTGGAACGCTCATTGCCGTGTCTGTAGACCCCAATTTAAGAGCGGCAGGCTTAGACACCTCTGAATGCCCGATCACATTTTCCATCCAAGGAAATTCCAGATCCATGATGAAGCCTTCACATCCAGGGAAAGCATTGGGATTTGCTGCCAGCATGATAAGTCGCTTGCTTATTGATATGGTTCTAACCTTCAAGTGCCGCTCGCATACCCTTGAGCAATTCAACGTCGGACGAGTATTCCCACAATGGCTTACCAACAGTGCTCATCATCAAGCGATGGATCACAGGAGTCTGAGTGATAGTGTCAACGACGTCCCTGCGGAGACGACGGACGGGGGAATTTTCAACGACGAAACTAAGCTGCTTTATCACTGTGATTATCTGTAAAACGGGTCGCATACCGTTGATTTTCTTCAAGGAAGAAATTGGCCAGCGCCGTGCTCACTGCCGCACAGATAGAGATCACTTCGGACGCGGACTCTTGCCGCTTGCTGTGACGCCGAACGTTCCCACGCCCTCCTACCACCACGCCATGACCTCTTCGCCGTCCTCGCCGTCCTCGCCCTCGTCTCGTCTACCAACGCTTCTGCTCTCACAACCTCCCTCGGCGCCAACGAGCGTCTCTGCTTCTATGCTGATGTAGACAAGGCAGGCGAGAAGATCGGTGTACGTCCCTCTGTCCTGCGCTGGCACTTCACCTTGCTCACACGCTTCGCTAGTTTTACTTCGCTGTACGTGGGCCTCGACTCCCAAATAATTCAACCATATACAGATATTGATGGGGAGCATGTCAGGTCTAATCTGGCGGCTCCTTCGACATCGACTTTGAAGTTAAAGACCCGAACGAGAAGGTCCTCCTCGACGGCGCGGGCGAGCGCCAGGGCGACTACGTCCTCACCGGCCTCACCGCTAACACCGTTGGCGAATATGCTTCTGCTTCGAGAACGACATGTCCACCCTCACCGAGAAGCTCGTCGACTTCGACATCATGGTCGAGAGCGAGCCCCGCCGCGACGCCCCCGCAAAACCCGCGCAGCTCTCGGAGCACACGTCCGCGCTCGAGGAGAGCATATTCAGGCTGAACGGGATGCTGCTGAATGTGAAGCGTACACAGAAATAGTGAGTGGCGCGCGGTTGTTGCTGCGGGCTGGTGCTGACGCCGGCGTGGTGCGCAGTTTCCACACGCGCGAGAATAGAGGGTTCTCCATCGTCAAATCGACACAAAAGTGCGTCCTTTACAGTACCTTCTTCACATGCTTGTATTGACTCGCGCGTCCCTCTTCTCACCCGTCTCTTTTGGTACGCCATTATCGAGACCCTCGCCGTCATCGGCATGGCCGTGTAAGCATCACGATTCTTTCGCCCTTCCGCATTGCGCGACTGTGTATACATGGGCTCATGATCAACTCTTGACACGGATTTCAAGTCTACGTCCTTCAGACGTTCTTCACCAAGACTGGAAGACGGTACAAGGTCTAAAGGTAGTTTCACCTGAAGGTGGAGTAGAGGGGGCAGGTGTACATTGTTCACATTGCTTTAGCTTTACTTACATATCATGTCGGTCGGTCGCACACCAAAGATCCCCCCTTTAAATTGGCGCTAAGATACACCTGAGTCAAGTGACCTCTAACGGTATACAGAATATTATGCTGGCTGGCAGCGTATCATGAGAGCTGGTTCTCGGTGGTACTTCGCTACCTGCCTATCATCCAGCTCGCAAGATGTCCACCCGCCCGAGGATCGAGCTGCTCGGTCGCAGTGCTTGACCCAAACCATCCAAAGTCTCAGAGCGTAGCGGTACTGTCTTCTTGCGAGGCGTTCATCTTCTGCGTCCCGCGTAGGTCTTTCTTGGACCGGCGAGGCCTGGTCATTGACACTGTAGGGCAAATAAGGACTTGTAGATGGGCGACGATCCGGTGATGGTTCACGGTGGAGCGATTGCTCTCATCAGAGATCCTGTGCCGCTTCCTCGGAGAATGAGCACAAGGAGTCAGTTCAGAGCGAGGATATGACTCGGTTCTTCGCGCCGACGACGCAAATGACAACGGGATTTTCCTGAGAAGCCAAGAACGATACGACTGTAGCACCACGTTGATGATGTACTGTGCCCTCTCTATCGAGGCGCCATATATGTGAGTAACGACCGAAGGTCGGAATCCAAATTCAACTTTCTGCCGGCATATGAGAAAATGAGGTTTGGCTTTCGAGAAATTGGCGGTTGGCAGTCGAAGGGATGCGAAAAGGAAGTAGCAGCGGACGCGGTCTCTTCACCTCCGTTCTTGCTCATTAGAAAGTTGTTAGTTCGATTTGAACAGGAGATGTTGAAAATGTCCTTATGTAGCGGCACGAGGTGATATTCAAAGGTCTCTTCGCCCCCGTATATCTAAGGATCACGAAACGTTCACCAATCAGCGAAGAGTTTCTGAGAGATTACGTCAAACGCCATTGAGAGCAGCAGCGCGGCGCAGTGGAAGGGAAGTGGCCACGGCAATTGAGCTCTTGGATAGCGCTAATGTCTTTGCTATCACAGCCATGGGTAACAGCAAGAGTCAGCTATCTTGTATGTTCATTCTAGTATGCCAAGTCCTTTCAGAGCATGCACAGTACTAGCCAAAAGGCTTCTGCATTACCAACAATCTTGTCATGATTATTATCTGCCTTGCAAAGAGCCTTGAAGAGGACATGGTATGTAACTAACAGTGTCTAATTGAAAAATCAAACTGATTGTAGGTAAAATCTATGTCAAAGAATGGGCTAGTAATAGTTGTAACTAATAAAGATATAACCTATGCTGCTTAGAATCATAGCAATGATCTATAGGCTATAGCAGAAAAATAGGCCATATTGATTTTGCTTTTACTAGAACAGCTTAACACATGGCACTTCTGAGACATGCTCAAAAACAGCAAGTTCTGGCATCAAATTATAAGTCTTGCTATAGATAAGGCACACCTAATCTTGACATAGGGTGCTATGTTCTACAAGGCATTTATAGAAATTAGCTTGATATATGCTTGGCTTTAGTTATCAGTGTGCTTCCTAGCTATTACCACAACAATGGAATCAGGTCCACTATTACACTCTGTTACTTAGGCTTGCTATCAAGATGTAATTCACTCAAAATCTTGATAGTGGACTTAGCCTCACAAAGCAGTTGCTTTTCAACTAGCTGTGCTGCCATAGATTTGATGGCTGGATAAGCATTTTTATTTATTTCAAGATATAGAGTGGATATAGAGTATATAAGATCAACCTTAGCTAAGCAAGGTTTAAGTTGACTGTTAGGGCTTTAGAGCTAGTATTTGAGGATTTGGGCCAGGGTACAAGTATTTTGGCCATGAAGAAACTTGCTGACCAGTGACTGATCATCCTTTTATTGTGGGACCCTTTTGTTTAGGTTGTCAGTCTAATACTAAAAGCAGTACCACAAAAAGGTGCCAAAAGACCAGTTTTCTTGTTGAATTGCTGCAAAAATACTTGTGAGCTTCCTTTGAATAAGCTTCTGAGATGGTGACAGACAAGAAGATGACACTCCAGGAGCACTGGAAGATGCAGATATACAAGAATTATGTGTTGAAGGGATGTGTGCCAAAACATGAGAAGGAGTGGAATTTTGGCTGTAATTAGAGCCTGATATCAATGATGGGGAGTAGGCTGTCCATTGGGGAATGTTTGTAGGCTATAGAGGTGTCGAGGGAGCTGATAGCACAGTCAGAATCATGAATTCTATGGCTGAGGATGATAACAAGCAGAGCAGTCCATTGCTCAAAGTGTCAAAAAAGCCATAGGGATAAATCAACTGTGGGAATGTTCTGACCACCAACCAAGGGGGTGTGACTGAATACAGACTGTATATAGGAGAGACCCACCCAATTGATTCATCATCAACTATTTATTAGTCTGCCGAGGAGACTAGTTTAGAACTTTGTACATGACAAACTCACAAGTCTTGCATTATCTTCACCTGCGCCATGTGTGCACTGAAAAACTATACATTGTGGTTATTATGCTCAAAAAATGGCACGATGAGACCCTAGGCTTCCCATTTCTTTTGCAAATTGAACAATTCCTGCTGCAAGCGGCATTGGTCTTTAGGTGTGCACGCATGTGCACCCGGTGTATATGATTGATGGATGAGCTGTTGCACCAAGTATCAAAAGTCACTTCAACTAAGCAAACAGGGACAGTAGAATCTAGATATACTTACCTGTGCTGCTTTATATATGTCTGCTGGTGTGAGGATTGGAAGAAATGACATGGCCCAAGATCAGGATCTAGACGCAAAAGCCGTGCCGCAGAAGGTAAGATAGGCCATATGCAAACATGACTACATCATGTGATATAGAGGTGTTACTTATAGTGGAGAAGGGTGTTACTTTTCCAAAGAATTGCTATCTTCTCCCTCACTGAGAAGAAATCAAGAAATTGGGCACTAAGGGATCATTTGTTTTGATTTAACAGACATTTACTTGGTGCAATTTTTTTGAATTAGGGCTTAGTTAATGAGGAGATAGTTTTTGAATGTTTTCAAGTGTCAACCTGACTAAAAGCGGCATAAACATGTTTACTCAAGAGTATATTGCAAATATTGCTACTATTGCATGTGCTGTGCTATGACAATGCCTAAGTGATGCTGATCAATCTCTTTATTTATCAAGAACCTAGGTAATAGGGCAAAGAAAGGTTGAGGGATATTTCCAGAACAAAAGAAGAATGTGAGCCTTACCTATTAATTCACCCATGAATTCTATAAAGGCCCTTTTACTAACAGATCCCAGTGGATGAAAGAGGCATGGAAGGCTGCTTTATAAGAAACTATTTGGCTGTTATTGGCACTCAGCAATCTTGCAAGTCTGCCACAAGAAGAATGATAGTGATAAGCATGCACCTGTGCTAGGGTCTGAGGGAGGTATTTGGGAAGCTTTGGGGAGATACCAAATAGCACTAGACAAGTACTGAAGATGCCAACTTGCACCAAATATGGTCAGTCCCTACCTGACTGACCACAACCTACCAAAGGACATTCAGCAGCACTTGGGTTAGTCCGCCCACATTTCATGTACTTACCATGACCACACAGGAGTGTTATGATAAGTGTTTATGAGATTGGAGCCAGTATTCTGTGTTAGCCGATATACTCTGTGAGTTGGTTGGTCCTTACTGCTTATCTTCCTGACTTCCACATAGTCAGTCAAACGTGATCTTGCACCATGACTTGGCCACCCTGGTCGTAGGTTACTTCTTCTTTATTGTCATTCACTCGCCAACACCTGTTCTGGCTACTTACGCTTGGGTGACAGATCCTGAATATTGGGGATTTTGCCATCACTGATTAACTTTTATCTTATCACCTTCAGAACCCATGTGGATATCTCGCCTACCTTCTTGTCTTCTCTGATCACTAGGGCTTGGCACCCATTTGATATTTACTCTTATTTCTTGTTCAATATTTTACTTAGGGGTTCTATTTACTATAAAAACCTACATACAACTCTGGAATAAACTAGCTTTTGCATCCCACAGTTTAGAGCTTATTTGCACTTGTCTCAACCATTGAAATTATCTTTGTTGACTCCCGAAAACTTGTCATCCTCATCATTTAGCCTTATTCGCATTTGTACTTGTCTCTTTACTCGTACCCCTCATTCTCCCTTGTATATTGTCAGAGTCCTATGTGGCTCTTGAAGCATATAGTTATCAGTTATGACACTGCCTTCTTGTCACTGATCAACTCCCTGACCTGACCCAACCAACCAAACATTTGGTTGGTGTTCAGTGGAGTCCTGAAACTATTTGGGCACTTTAATATCACCCTTCTCATTACTCTTCAGTACACCCTCGCTTTCTCAAGTCCAAACTAATGATTCCTTCTGTATCAGATACTAGCTCTAGCATCCCCTGCATTAGAGGTTGTCTTGGTATTGTGCTCAGCACTTAGAGCCATCTCTAGCATATCATTTTGGAGCCCACCACGAGGGATTAGTATTCAAAATTACCTTAAGGAATCTACATCACTCGTTCTAACTAACAGTAGAGTGAGAAAAATGACAAACAGTTATTGACAGCTTCAATATTCAGGAAACCTCTGCTAACCAAAGTCTGTTTGGAGATACTAATATAGTTCCAGAACATTTATCCCACCATCACTATCTTGATCTCGAATCCTTGCCATCGCTCTTGCTGCCGCCCAACTCCACTTTCTTATTGACCCCACCTTTATTGCTGAACTGATCACTACTCCCACAGATTTCCCCCATCCTTGATCTTGTGCTCTTTAGACCAATCACCTCTGTCTCCTATCCTATCTTTCCATAACTCCATCTCTTTATTAATCCTACACAGCCCTGTCTTTTAGACGCTGACCATCCAACCAACTTCACTAGAATGCTCCTTTGAACCAGTGATTCTATCCCCAATCACCTTCATCTGGAAAACCACCCCTTTATATTAGCTCTGGATTATATCTAATAGTGTCTAAA